CCCTATAATCACAGCTCTATGGAGCAGTATCAGACTCATTCTGACTAGAATTGAGTCGGACTACGTCAGGCTAACATCTAACCCCCCACCTTAATAAATTCTGAATTAATTGAAATGAACCACAATTTTTTGGGAAATCTGACTTTTCTGAATTTTAAACCCACAAAAATAATAAATAACTAAGCTAGGATCTGTCTAATAGCATGAAGTAGACTAAACAGGTCATGTTCTGATCTGAAGAAATTCACAAAAAAAGAGAAATAAATTCATTGGTAACTATGATTCTGGAAGGTGGAACAAAGCTGAATCCACAGGATTCAGAAAAGAACATCATAAAAAGACTGCCCCTAGTAGAGGAGGTAGAGTGGTGGTCTGTGGTATTGTGATGGTCTGGTCTTTCCTGCACCAAGTCTGCATTATGTGACCTAAATAAATGAACCATGATTTATGTTTTCTAACAGAAAAAAACTATTCTTGGAGAAGGTTTCTGAGAAACATAAAATATTTTTCAGTTTCCTTTAGATAAGAATAATACTTTCAAATGTAAGAGTAGAAAGAAATCCATATTGCTTGCACATTTTGGTTAATTTGTACAACTTTAAAAAGAGAAAAAACATATTTTAACCAAAGAAATCAATGAACTGCAATAAATGTTTGTATAAAAATGCAGAAGGAATTTCTCTTGCAGCTCTTATTTTCTTATATTCATATTAAAACATCACAAACTTATTTCTCTAGGAGGTTTAACAGATGGAGAACATGTGGTGGAAAATAAAGAGCTCTTTCTGATTTTTTATTAAAGTCCAAATCTCGATTTGTTTTGCAGATTTCTTTTAGTTTAGTTTAATTGATATCTAAACTCTGGTTTTGGCAGAATAAGACTAATAATAACTAAAATTTGTGGGCAGCGAAAAAAAAAACAGAACCATATTCTATTTAGACATTCTCATCTTTGAACACTGGATAAAAGTTAAAATAGTGATCAATCCTGATGTGCAGGATAACTGGACAAAAGACTCAAAATGAAAAATCTGTCTGAGTAATGATTATGTCGCTTTGCTACAATGTTTATTTATTTAAAAAAATAAGGTATTATAGATGTGATTTGGAATAAAAACTCAATTAAATGACTGGACGTTAAAAGAAATTAAATCAGATTAAAAAATTATGTTCTGAATCTCCTTGAGCTCTGCTTGTAATCAGGATGCATCCTAACATGAGGCCCAAGCCTCTCAAAGAGAAACTAAAAACGATTCAAACTAAAATTAAAACAGGATTCTTTGGGCTTTCATGGCTTTTAAAAATCCATTCACTCCCATGATGTGGAGTTTTGGTGGAAGCCAGCGGGGCAAAAAGAGGAAGTTAATCCCAGTTTAATAAAGCGAAGCACAGCCCCAGACCAACGCTGTGATGATTGTGTTATCACCTTCCAACATTTGGTTCCCTTCTTCACTTACTCCAACCTGCTAAAATATGAAGATGGCGTGAAGCAGAAGTGTCTGCCTGAGGAAATGTTGTTTTAATAGCTGCAGCTGAGACTGAACGAGCTTTCTGTCTGTTTCATTCTGCTGCATTTGTTTGACTGCTTGGTCTGTGTGGCACAGATATTTCAGTCACCTGAGCAGGACTCAGACCTGAAGCTTGATGCGTCCAGCTGCATAACAGGGACTGCAAATAAGTATTGGACTGAGAAATCTAATTTAGCACATGGGAAGGGAAGTATTTATTTATCTTAAAATAAAGGCGGTTTATCTCTTTCCACTAACTATAGTTAGTATTAAATGACTACTAATGACATTTGATCTGTTTCATTTAAAGGGGATTCAATGCTTTTTTTTATTTATTAGTTTGACGCATTAAAATCTACAATGTGACATTCTTTTGTATATTCAAAGAGACATTAAATACTGTTTATATATATATAGTTAAGGTATTATGGTATATATATGGTATATTTTTATATGATATATATATATAGCCTGGTTCTGCTGGAGATTTCTTCCTGTTAAAAGGGAATTTTTCCTCTCCACTGTCGCTACAAGCATGCGTATTGTGGGGGATTGCTGAAGAGTCAATGAGTCGATGCAATCAGCTGGTTTTCCTTAGATAGAAAACTTTCTGTAAATGTGTGTTTCTGTAAAGTGCCTTGAGACGACACGTGTTGTGATTTGGCATAATATAAATAAACTGAATTTAATTGAATATCTCTTTTTCTGTTTTTTGTTTTTATTATTAGTTTTCACAGTATGGAACTGATCTTTCTGCAGGTGAAAAATACATCAAATAAAAAAAATTCATAATTTGTTTCTAACATGTCTTTTTTTTGCAGAATTGCTACCACATATATCAATCTGCTGTATGCTGCATATTTTATGTATCTTGTATTTTCGAATTTTGAAAATACACCGAAATAAATTGGGTTAAATGGATGCATTAGTTTGTAACCAGTTAGAACTATTTTATTTACCGTTTGGTGAAATCCAACAGAAATATGAAAAAGCAAAAGGAAAGCTTCCAGATTTCTCTTTAACACAGACTTTCCAATCTGAATTCAAGCTGCTGTCCTAAAACCAAGGCGTTTGCTGGTGAAAGATGAAAGTGAAAAGCAATAAAGTGCTCAGTTTAATCTGCTTTAAAGCCTTTGAACATCGAACATGTGCCTGGAAATAAGAGAGTGAGAGCTGATAGGGGATAAATGTATTCCTTCCTGTTACATCCTTCTCCTGTACAATTGCCTATTCATCACACACCATTTCATTACCAGCTGTAATAGGCTCAGTCCACAAATTATTAAATGTGAAGCATGACAAGGAGACAGGAACCAACCTGACGAGTGTGCAAATAAGGACACATGCTTATATAAAAAGATAACCAAACATCTAATAGGTTCAAAACAATGAATACTAGTTTGGATTTATTTGTATTCATTATAGATATAAAACAAATTCAGATTATAATTCTTTATCTGTTAAAAGCGCTTGATTCCAGCTGTGGTGTTTTTCATTCAGGCTCCAGCTCTGCTCCTAACAGGCTGCTGAGGCCCCCGTTCCGTTCCGCTCTGATCTAACCCATCCTGACTGCTGCCAGCTTCACGCAGCTGCTTCGCTTTGCTTCTAATCATCGCTATGGGACCCAGATCCTCCTCACAGCCTCGACAATATGAATAATTCAGCGCCTGCTGGGAAAACACAAAACCCAGAGCGACAAAACGATCGGAGTCCAATTTGTAGACAAAACGCGGCTCCTGACCAGAGGCTGAGCGCTGGAACCCGGGGCCCCTACCTTTGTCCCCCAGGATCCCGTCTATGCTGTGTTTGCTGGTTTTTCCTCCGTCTTCCTCCTTCTTCTCACATTCCGTCTCATTCTTCTTTCCAAATCGATGTCGAAGGACGCGGCTGATCGCGCTCACTTTAATATCCAGACAGAATAAAAAAAATAATTATAAAAACAGCAACAATAACAACAATAATATTTAATAACAGTAATGATGTGAAAGACTATACTTTATAATGCCTTATAAAAAATATTATCATTATTAATAATAAAAAGAATTATTATTATTATTATAACAATAATTATTGTAACAACAACAATAATAATAACAGTAATAATAATAAAACAATAATGTGCGATTTAATTTATAATTTTGACTGTAACTATACAGTCATATTACTGTGTTTCATCACAATGTTTTTTATTATCACTGTTGTTTACCTTATCAAGGCTGCACTTTATTTTTTTATAATTTTTTTTATCAAGGCTGCACTTTATTTTTTTATATTTTTTTTTATCAAGGCTGCACTTTATTTTTTTATAATTCTTTTATCAAGGCTGCACTTTAAAAAAATATAATTGTCTAGAGAGCTGTTCTTAACGAAATTTCTTTTTGTTGTTACAAAATGACAAAATAAATCTGTCTAAGTCTAATTTATCATTTGATACCCAGTGAAATAACCAGTTTCTCTATATTTGACACCCAGTGCAATACATTTATATATATAAATATTCATATCAATTTATATCAAAACCCTGTGCAATAACCCTGTATAATGATCCTACTATTAAAATAAAAAAATAAAACATAAAAAAACAACAGCTGTCATATGTGGACGCATTGTATATAGTGTATATACTGTATAGGCCTATATCTCATGCACTTTTTTCTTCTTTTTTGGTAAACTTCTCCTTTGTGAGATCAATCAATCAATCAATCAATTAATTAATTAATTAATTAATTAATTAATTGATTGATTGATTGATTGATTAATTAATTAATACTGACCTGAAGGAACGGTGCCTCTGTCACACACTCCATCCTTCAGCAGTTTATCTCGTATTTCCCAGCTGAATATTCCAGGGTTTTCCTCTTTATATTCCTCTATCCGCGTCTCCACGTCCAACGTGGAAATCTGCTGCAGAATCAGACACATTTATTTAGATTTAATTTAAATTAGAAAGCTGAATAATATTTTCCTAACTCGCCTTGGGTTTGCTGCCGCCGATGGCTCCAGGCCGGATGGAGCCAGTCTCCTGGTACCGGCAGAGGATCTTGGAGACGCAGCCGTGAGAGACGCGCAGCTGCCGGGAGATGACGCAGGGCCGGACCCCATGGTGGGCCATCTCCACTATCCTGTGCCGGATGTGGTTCGGCAGAGGCCGACCGTTTATAAAAACCCCTCCCAGCTGGTTGATCCTTCCCTGCCCCAGAGGAGTGGACACTGCGGACAAACAGGGATGGTTCTCCGTAAATATGGGAAATAGTTTAAATAGAAGTGATCATGATAGAAATGTTGCATAGATCTGCTGCCTGGAGACTGTGAGAAGTGAAATAAATTTATCTTCATTGAGACTCAGAGAAATCTGAGCTGATCTTTTGTTTCCTAATGAGATCAGGTCTGCAAAAAAATGTATTTTGACAAAATGATGAAATGATTAAATGCTGTTAATCCGACTGTGAAAAAACAGCCTGAATTTAATCTCCGTGTTTATTGTCATGGTTCAGCTGATAAATACATAAAATAAATGTTTGTTTTTTCCAGTTTAAAAATTAGATACCCTGAAAAGAAGATATTTTCTTAAAAAAAAAAAAATTAACAATACATGGGCAACCAATAATAATAATAACAGAAACATGTTTCTTTTCTTTCTTTTTTTATTTTTGTTTTAGTAAACATGTTTCTAATATCCTAATATTCTGACCATGTCATGTTTCCTTTCTTCTATTGAAGTATTTTTTCTTAAATGGTCTGTTTACCTTCCAGTGGGAGCCCAGTGCGCTGGTAGTCCTGTCTGGGAAACGGAAGCGCTCCTGGTAAAGCAGACATCACCATCCAGCTCAGAATGGACCCGCTGGTCCAGGAAGGATGGAAATCAGTCCAAATCAAGGCCAAGTGTTGTTGTTGGTCTCCTTTTTTTTAAGCAGAGCTGTCTGGAAAATCCAGGCTGTTGATGAGGTGAAAATGAGATTAAATGAAGCAGAAAAGCATGAAATCCTCCTCAGCTCAGCAGCGCTGTTTGGAGCCCAGGATCCTCCTTGTTGGACAGCAGGGATGAAGCTCTGAGAGCAGAGCAGCTCCAGGTGCTGACAGGGTTCTGGGCCAGGAGGCTTCAGGAAGGAGGTCCAAAGTACCGGCAGGTTCCTGGATCTGCCTCTTTACTCCAACAGGTTCTGCAGCCAATGGGAAGGCAGGAGGAGCTGGAGCAGATGCTCTGCCTCCTCCTCATCACTCCTGTCAGGAAGTCCAGCTAAGGATGGTTATGATGGGTGGAGAAAGAGGAGAGCTCCAACATCCACCTTCTTCATTTTTCTACAACTTCTTTTAAACTGAAATATTGGAAACCTGAATTTAAACATTTGATATTTAGGAACTTTTTGCAGCAGGCCGACCATTGACTCCATGAGGTCTGATTGGTGAATACAAACTAAATGCTACGTAATGGAATTAATTTCTTTCCTAGATAAATCCATACAATTTTAAAAATGATTGAAAAAGTTTCTGGAAACGTCTCATGATTAAAATGGCAATTGGCAATTTATCTAATTTCTGTCTTAAATAATAAGAGAGTGAAATAAATTAACTACAAGCTGCATGTATAGCACTAGAGATTAATATTAGAAGAGCTTTTAGTATTTTCTACTATTTTAAGCTCTAATAAACAACATATCAACACATTTCCTAATACACAAATTTGACTTAAAAACATGTAGGTGTGTTTTACTTTACTGGTAATAAATAGCAAATACTGGAAGTTTACTGTCTGCTATGGAATAATCATTTTATTCAAAAAAGAAAGAAAGAAACAGAACCTCATACTGTACAGAACAGTATGCCTTCTTATTATTATAATTTTTTTTTCTAAAAAAACATACAATTTTTTTCAAAGATCTTTTTTTTTTTTTTTTACACTCAGTGTCATCATACAAAAACATAAAACTGTGTCTGTAGTCTTATCCTTTAATGTCAGTTGCACTTTTTAAAAAACACTAAATAAATTCACTAGAATTAAAAGCTAAAATATCACCCATCCATTTTCTGTCACACTTAATCCCAGTTGGGGTCATGAGGGGTGCTGGTGCCTATCTCCAGCTGTCTATGGGCGAGAGGCGGGGTCCACCCTGGACAGTCTATCACAGGGCATCTCTAGATACTTAATATTGTGAAACCTGCAGCAGATGGCATCAGGCCAGCTCACAGTCTTAGCTGGGCCTAGGACAGTAGAAATCAATTCAATAACTACACTGGATAAGCTAAAATAAATTAGAATCTTCCAGGACGGAGACGGGAAACAGTTCCAGGTTTGNTGGATAAGCTAAAATAAATTAGAATCTTCCAGGACGGAGACGGGAAACAGTTCCAGGTTTGTACATAGACAGGCAGAGATCCTGCAGGAGTCCGAAGACAGGTCAGGCAAACAGAACTGAATGGAGACAGGCAGGCCCAGAGGTTGAGAGGTAGAACTGGTCAGGAGATTGAAGCAGGTGGATCAGATGAGCCGTAATAAGGACTGGGTGGAGATAAGCAGGTGAGTGGAATGTGTTATTAGACCAGTCATCAGCACCAGGACAGCAACAAGCGGAGGAACACAGTATATCAGAAAATGACAAAAGGAAGGCAACTTGATGTCCTCAGTCTGTTTTATTTTATTTTCTCGAAAAATCAAAGTACAAAAATTCAATTTTCACATGCAATGAGGCAGACCACAAAAGTTTCCTTGCAGCAGCCAACCCCTAGTAAAGGAATTGAATGCCTTTTAAAGGTACACTATGCAACCGGTGTTGATTTTCCAGCGAGGCTCCCCCCAGAGGGCGAAAGTAAAAGTGCACTGTCGTAAATATGCTCAGCTGTTCTCCTGGTTTCTCCGTCAAGCCAGGCGCAGTTGTTTTGAGCTTAGCAGAGAGGCGAACGCAGCGAATCACCATGTCTACTGCGGTAAGTGACTATTTTGTTGTTTTGTTTTCATAAATTATTTGTTATGTATGTGTCTAAATAACAAAGATTGTAGTTAGCCAAATTCTCACCGTAAAGCAAGACTGACTCTCGCGATGCACGAGACTTCTGAGCCTGTGGGTGCGGGCCGAGGGCTCCTGCAATTGCAAGTGCGGTATTTCCCCTACAGACCACCAGGGCGGCCGAGAAAACTTTTGTTAGACCTGAAATGACTCATTTAATCATCCAAAACGTTATGGAACACATTAATTAACTGAAAAATGTTGCATAGTGTGCCTTTAAAGGATTCAAACCTAACTAGGGGTGTGACACAACATAAGCTGTCTCCAAACTAATGTAAAACTCCTCCATTGAAACCCACCAATGACCCATGTAAAATTACCTAGCAGCCAAATAGAGAACCTTAGAACCAAACACCATAACTAAAAAAAATTCCCGAAACATCTAACTAAAGAAAAACACTCTTGGTTGTGTGTGCGGCTTTCAAATAGGTGTCTGGTTCCTGGGGACTTCTTTTGGCTAGACACCTGAACAGAAAAAGGTCATTTGTAACACCATGGAAGTAAATCTGTGCCGCTGGGATTTAAATACAAAATGTCACTGAAATATAAATGTTGTATGTTTGTACTTACTCTGTCTGTGTTAAAATATATTCAGAAAACATTTTCAACCTAAAAACAAATATTTATATATTTTCACTACATCTATATAGTTGAAATTTCATTTGTTATTTTTACTTCAAGCTAAAAATTCACATTACTATTACACAGTTAATACATTTTCAGTTTGACTTTTTCACTGTTAAAGCAGCAGAGAAAACATTAAGCCTTTCAAAATTCAAACTCAATATTTTCAGCAAGTGAGATTCAACTGGCTCAATTTCACTGTGTTAAATTCAGCGTCTAAATTCAATGTAAAAAGGGAAGGGTTACTTCAGGTCACAGACATTAGCAATGGATTGTGGTGTCCAAGACCTAGCCAATCCCGTTACAGTTTCTTGGTCACGTGACAGGACGTTTTTGACGCTCTTACTGAAGGAAAACCAGCATCGCGGATGTGGTCATGCAAGCTAACGCTAATGCATCGGTGAGTTTATTGCTTTCATTTTTCTGTAGTATTGCAAGAAGTTGCAATTGCAAGCAAATATTGTAATGGGATTGGCTAGGTGTTGGACACCACAATCCATTGCTAATGTGTTTGGATCCATCCATCCATCCATCCATCCATCCATCCATCAATCCATCCATCCATCCATCCATCCATCCATCCATCCATCCATCCATCCATCCATCCATCCATCCATCCATCCATCCATCCATCCATCCAGATTTCTCCCTTTCTCCATATAGGCTAACATTTGATCCTTCATGCTCTCCATAGTTCCCCTGTGGCGCGAGCACAGGGCGGCTGTTACATGCCTTTAGCGAGCATGCGCAATTCCTGTCGCTTGCGTGGTGAATCGTGCCGCTTGCGCTGTGCGGAGATGCAGGTGAAACCGTTTCTGTTGGGGAAACGCGGCTCGACGTAACACCGGTATTTCCATCAGGAAAACACTGTTTTGCTGCTGGAGTCCTCCTCACTCTCCATCTCTCTGTGTGTGCTGTACGTTAACACCAGCCAGCAGAAACACCCACCTACCCAACTGACAGACGGAATCTCACTATACATCACCCATTCTCATCCTCCCCTCTCTCATGAGAAGGCGCGCACAAGTCCTATCATGAAAAAAAGGTTCATTGTGCGACCTGAGTAACGTGCAGTAACGAAATGTCGGCAATAGTAACTGCATTATAGTTACAGTCAAAGTAATTAGTTAGATTACTCGTTACAAAAAAAGGTAACTTTCTATGTACTTTCAATGGTACTTTCAGCTGCGTTACTCCCATCACTGATTATGACCTTGTCAAGACACAAGTTCACCATCTTGTTTGCTACTGTAGGAATACAAAAAGCTTGGTCTTGCATGAAGCCTTATCAGTTGGGCGGTAGTTTGGTTTTGTCTTCCACTTCCGTTACCACCGTTTGACCTTGTTTGGTCTTCAGGCTTAAAGTCAAGTAGACTTTCATGAGTAATTCTACATATTGGACAGCATATTCCTGTCATGATCTTGGTGCTGATGGTTTGGTTTTTTCCTTTGATCCTTGCTCCCCTGTCTACTTGATTCTGCAGCTGATTATCGCCAATCATTTTCACCTGGTTCCTCTACTATATAAGTTGTGTGTTTGCCTCTCATCAGCGGCAGGTTATTCGTGTGTTTTGGTGAGACGTTTCCTAGCTTTCTTTAGTCTGTCTGTTTCCCTGATTGAGACCTGTTTCTTCCCTGTGGATCTCGCGTTTTGCCTTGCCCATGTCTGCTCTGTTTGTCGTATCTGGTCCTGGATTCTACCAGCTTCTGAACCTGGAACTGTCTTCTGACTTCGGCCTTGGATTTCCCTTCTGGACTCTGTTGCTGCTCGGCGTCGGCTGGTGCCCGCTCCGCTCGCTCTCTAGGAACTCTGGGGGCGTCGCCCTCCGCAGCTGCGGTCAAACCTCCCTGCTGGATTCTGCTGTGTTCTCCGCGAACGAACTGAACTTTGAATCAGGTCAGTGACTAGGTCCAAGTCGTATTCCGCTCCACATCCAGTCACTGACCTGTATTCTCCTATCCCTGCAGAGATCCGCCCCGCAGCAGACAAGCAGCCCCGCGCACCTGTTTGTTTAATAAACACTTTGAACTTTCCCACTGCCTGTCTCGCCTTGAATTCTGGGTCCAACTTCCTGAGATCATTACAATTCCCTAAATAACTTTGGAATTGAATGTACAATAAAGGAATGCATAACGATAATAGCATCGTATTCTGGTCTGTCAGGAGAACAAATGATAGCTTCCAGAATCTTTTAAAGCTGAGACTTCTGACAATAGTGGACTTTCCCACTGTCACTCAGGGTTGCAGGGTAAAACTGATACTCATGCTTAGAGAACTCTAGCAGGTCACACTCCCATGATTGGGAGGAATTAAAGAGCTGTGAGAACAAGCAACAGTTGTCTTTGAGTCCCAGCTTTCTGACACTGGAAGCTGCAGCTGCCTCTTGGCAAAATAAGTCAAATTTATTTGTTTTAATTGGCCAC